TTTGGGTATTTTAGGTGCCAACCGCCAATTGCTTTTCCAACTTCGATTGTAAATGCAAATAGATGTGAAGTTTTATGAGGTCTAAATGGTACAATTATGATCCATTTCTAAGGTCTGGTGTTTTATGACTGTTGTGCAAATTGCATAATCAACAACCGCAAGATGTGCCAAAATCTAGAAATAGCATATACAAGAGCTAATTGAGTAATATAGCTCGAATTTTGGGATGTAAATAAATCAGATTTGAACGACTAAGGTATATTCATGTTCATTTGTTTATTTTTGAAAGTGTTTGTATTTGATTCATTTAGTGTTTGCGAATATGGCGGTTTAAATGTTTTAGAAAAAATGTTGAAATTGCACCAATATTACTTAAACTACTTTGCCTTCATAGTTTGAACTCTAACATTTGTCATGTATTCAATTTAATATCTATATTCACAAATATTTAAACTGTAAAAAAAAAATAAAAAGGAAAGGAGAACCGTAAAAACAAGTTTATATTGTATGAGCAATTTTTGGTCTGTTGTATTGTATGGCGTGAAAATTTAAATTAAATCACAGATATTTCATCTTTACCCTATTACCATAGAATATAAAGGTTAAATAGCCTATTAAATTAAATTTTATTATCATTTTAATATTTATATTTTATTTTAATTCACGTATTAATTAGATACAAATTTAACTAAAAATTTAAAATTATTTACGAAATTATATATTAAAAATAGTAAACTATCCGACATCTGCAAATTCGCTATATATATCTCTAAACTATTTTTTCACATTTTCCTAACACATGTTTCTAGAAAATTCTTTTAAGAATGTCTTATTGAATAAAAAGGGGAGGATGTCAGGAAAAGCCTTCGCTTGGTGTTTCAAATGATTCCCTGGTTCCCCTCCTTTAAATTTCAAATTTATTTTCAATTTCCCCCGAATTTCATTTGCATTTCAAAACCTCCTCCACAAACTCTCTGTACAAATACCCCTTTCTTTCCTTTCTCTTATCCTCTCGTCAAAGCTTTCTCCAGTCACAAACAGTGACGAAATTAGATCAAAGCGTCACCATCACTCCTTCGCTCTTCCTTATTCGGGTAAATATGTCAAGTGTTGCTTTGATTTCACTTCAAATGTTGCCGATTCGTGGATTTCTTTTTTATGTTTCGACGGTCATGGAACTGAGATCTAGGGTTCTAGAAGTTACTGGACTGTTGTTGAGAGTTGAGATTTAGCCTGATCTGCGTTGCTTTCTTTCTCGATCTTTATTTTGCTCGGTCTGCTTCAATAGATTTTTCGGTTTATGTATAGATCTTGTGAGAAATGACTTTGTTTTTTTAAGCTTTATTTAAACTTGATATTCTTTCTACTTGTTCTGATTAATGCTTTAATTGTGAATACTTGATGCTTTTCGAAAATTTCTTTTTGAGATTAGGTATGGTCTTTTATCTTACTATTTATTTCTTTGTGTGATTAATTCAAACAGTTTTGCATTGGTTTATAGTGTAGCTTAATTCTGAAAACCATGTTGAGAATTGACTGAATTTGGTTGCCCCATTGCTGCAGCAAATTTTTGGATTTCTAGCTAACTAAGATATTATGTATTTGAAGAGATGAATGTTGACTTTAATTCGGTTTGCTTATATTAGTTGAGAGGGATATGGAGTTCAGACTGACATGTTATTTTTTCTGTACTCACTGTTTAGATTCTTGTTTGTAGTGGTAAATTATGGCTGATGCTGAGGACATTCAACCCCTCGTCTGTGACAATGGAACTGGAATGGTGAAGGTTAGTTGATTTTTGGATCTGAGTTATATTCTCCATTGTTATTTATTTGTTCATAAAAAATGCATTACTTTTTGTGGTTGATCTGGCATTGTTTAACCATACAGGCTGGTTTTGCTGGTGATGATGCCCCTAGGGCAGTTTTTCCCAGTATTGTTGGTCGACCCCGACATACTGGTGTCATGGTTGGGATGGGTCAGAAGGATGCCTATGTAGGAGATGAAGCACAATCCAAAAGAGGTATCCTTACTTTGAAGTATCCAATTGAGCACGGTATTGTCAGCAATTGGGATGATATGGAAAAGATCTGGCATCATACATTCTACAATGAGCTCCGTGTTGCTCCTGAGGAGCACCCTGTGCTGCTCACTGAGGCACCTCTCAACCCCAAGGCCAACAGAGAAAAGATGACTCAAATTATGTTTGAGACCTTTAATGTACCTGCCATGTATGTTGCCATCCAGGCTGTTCTCTCTTTGTATGCCAGTGGTCGTACAACAGGTTGGTTAAAATACAGACTACTTTGGACCTTTCATATTTTGTGACCTGATAGGAAGATGCTAAATTAAGATTGCTCTGGGTATTGTTGGTCTGGTTTTGTATAGATCATTCCTGATCAAGCTTATAACACTGAATTATCACCCTATTGGAACAGGTATTGTGTTGGATTCTGGTGATGGCGTCTCTCACACTGTACCAATCTATGAAGGTTATGCCCTTCCACATGCCATCCTCCGTCTAGACCTTGCTGGTCGTGATCTCACTGATTCTTTGATGAAGATTCTTACTGAGAGAGGTTACATGTTCACCACCACTGCTGAACGGGAAATTGTCCGTGACATGAAGGAGAAGCTAGCTTATGTTGCCCTGGACTATGAGCAGGAACTGGAGACAGCCAAGAGCAGCTCTTCCGTTGAGAAGAACTATGAATTGCCTGATGGCCAAGTGATTACTATTGGAGCTGAGAGATTCCGTTGTCCAGAAGTTCTCTTCCAGCCATCACTCATTGGGATGGAAGCTGCTGGAATCCATGAAACTACCTACAATTCTATCATGAAGTGTGATGTTGATATCAGGAAGGATCTTTACGGTAACATCGTGCTCAGTGGTGGTTCAACCATGTTTCCTGGTATTGCAGACCGTATGAGCAAGGAGATAACTGCCCTTGCACCAAGCAGCATGAAGATTAAGGTGGTTGCACCGCCTGAGAGAAAGTACAGTGTCTGGATCGGAGGATCTATCTTGGCATCGCTCAGTACCTTCCAACAGGTGGAGTATATTTGAAGTATTTTACTCACTCTCATTTTATACATTCACTGCCCAAGACTGACTTTCTTGCCTTACCTGTTGCATCAGATGTGGATTTCCAAGGGTGAGTACGATGAATCTGGTCCATCTATTGTCCACAGGAAGTGCTTCTAAGTTTTTAAATTAGGTCGATGGTAAGTTACATTTCCAATTTAGTTGCCTTATTTTGTTTCAAGTGAGAAAATCTGGTTGATGTGGGGAAGTGTGAAGGATGGTGTACCTTGGGTTTATATATAAGACATCCTTTTTATAAGTTACGACCTGGTGATGCTTGCTGGTGATACCTTCATTTGGAAGATAGCGGTCTAGATATGACGATGGACAGACAATTGATGAGGATGATGATTGTTTCTTGTTTAATTTTACTGTTCAAGGTCCCCCCCCTCAGAACATCAATGGGTTGAGGTTGTTTGGGTTAGATTAAGAGATTGTTGGGGAAGAACATTAATGTTAATAGCTATTGTATTGTACGAGCAAAATTTAAATTAGTGTCAGTTTGCGGTCATAAAACGGTCATGGAAATTATAATTGGATTCCGGGTTTTGAAATCTTTCCATTCAAATGTTTTTAGGATTTGATTTGAATTTGACGGTAGCGTTCGAAATGATCCCATGATTCAGAATCCATATCCTTAGGATTTAGGTGTCGACGATCAATCACGGTCTGATATGGAGTGGATTGCCTGCGATCTCCACATTATCTAAATGAGTAGAGTGCAATCAAGATAAATTATGGGTTTGACTTGAGGGTTGGTATTTGATTCTAATATGATGAACTTTATTATGATTTGTCTTTTTAGGAAAAAAGTGTTGAAAATTCTTACTCAGTCCTAAAATAATAATATAATTAATTTTTATGTAATTCAAGATATTTAATATAATCTCTTTTTATATATTTTATTTAATGTGTATAAATATTTATATAGGATATGGATTTTTTATTTCGGAATTGAATTAGATAAAAAATAAATAAACTCTTTGAATAAAGCTTTGCCTTAAGGGGGTGTTTGGTTCAAGGATTGTGGGAATCTTACATTCCCATATTTAGTTGGCCGGGAATCTTATTCCCGGTAATGTTTTATTACCAATAGTAGATTTTTTGGGGTATATTACCGGGAATGTCATTACCTCTCTTCCCTTAGGTATTGTAACATTATCGGTGTTTTGGACTAAAATGCCCATAATTTTTTATTTTTTTCAAAAATATCATTCTTCTGTCATTGAATAATAAAAATTTTACGAAGGTTAAACTACAAATTTATCCTTAAATTATTTTAGATTTACAAAAAAAAATCTATAATTAAAATTTTATATGAAGTTCAAAGGTTAAATTTTTTTTACCCTTTCATTAAACCTTTTTTATATTTTTAATTTTGTAAAAAAATTATATAAATATTATGAATTTAATTTTTTAAAGAAAATATATAAATATTTTACAATTTGTAATATTATACAAATATATAATAAGGACAATTTGGTCAAATATACATTCTAATAATTTTTTATTCCTTTAACCAAACACGGTAATCTTACATTCCTGCTAAACCAACCAAACACAAAATACAACATTCCCAGTAATCCTATTCCCTGGTAATCTTTTATTCCCACTAGTAATCTTACATTCCGTGAACCAAACGCACCTTAAAAGTCTAAAAATAAACTTAAGAGATTTATCATCATTTGAAATTCACTTATGAAATTATTATTTTTATAACACGGTTTACCATGCCATTCTTTGAAAAGAAAAACATTGAATTCAAGGTCACAGCCTGAATTGAATGAATAAAAAAATTAAACTGGGTTTAACTGTAAAAAATTGGAATTGACGAACTCACATGTCAGATCTCAACAACATTGATAAACCAAGAATCCCAAGTAAGTATACAGTTTTACACCATGGGTTCCCAATGATACTACTGCAATCATTCATTCAGGCTTCAGATCCAAACCCTCTCTCCACCATCACATAACCCTCGAGATCCCAGCGCCACTCATTTCTCAAACCTCACGGCATTACCCCCCATCCCCTCCCTCCCTCTCCTCTGGCCATCAATGGCGGACTACGAGCCAACACAACACCCAACGATCCCCATAGAAACTGCTCTCCAAGCCTTAAACACCATAATCCAACTCCACTTCGAGAAGACCCTCGAAAAGAAACGAGCCATCGACCTCCAAAAGAAAGAGCTCCACAAGCTTTTCCAGCTCTTCTTCCTCTTCTTAGCCCTCGTCTTCATGGCTCAAGCTCAGTCCACTCGTCTCCAATGCCGTCATTGCTGGGCACCCATCACTTTGCTCTCACTTTCGCATCTTATCTTCTATGTCTCGGTGGCTCAGACGCTGAGGTGCATCAATGGGTTCAAGTACCAGAGACGGTGCCACAAGCTGACGCTGGGGTTGGCTACAGATAAGCTGAGGGAAATGAAGATTAGGGTCAACAATGGGGAGTTCGTTGATGGGTTCGGGGAAGAAGGTGAGTTCCAGATTCATTACCAGGAACCGCCAGAAACTTACTTTGCCAAGTTCAAGAGAAACTGGGCGCTGCATTTTGGTTTCCTTATCTTGATCTATGTTTTCTTGGTCTCTTCTTCGGTTGTGTTGCTTTGTTTCTAGGTGTTGGGTGTGAATCATTTTTATTTTTCCAGTGTTGTTTAATAGGAAGAATTTATTAATTTATGTGTATACCTTTGGTTTCTTGAGGCTCAATATTAATTAAAAAAAGGGCAAAAACTTGAAGATTAGTGTTTCCAATTCCATTGTTGACTGATTTATGCTTTTGATAAAAAGCTTCATTTTTAACGATGAAGGTAATTTGGATTTTGTAGCACCAAGCATTCCTTTAGTTCTGGGGTGTTGAACGTTGGAAAAAGGGAATTTAAGGAGGGGAGAGAGAGATAGGTGATAGGGGAAGTTTTATTTGTTTTATTATCAATATAAAATTTAGTAATTAATTCGAATAAAATATTATATATTTTTACTATTTACAACTTTTGATGATCTTTTAGTTTGTAGAAAGGCGACAAGCGAGAAAATTTTGGATATGAGGGGTATTAATTAATTAATTATGTTGCAGGCACCCATTGAATTGATTCTCTAACATTTGTTTTCATTTTTCAGGATAACGTACAAATGGTCTTTCTGTTGTCTAGTGTTACTTCATTCTGTCTACGTATTATTAAAAGTTATAACATAATATTTCAATTATAAGATATTATTTTTTAAAGTTATAATATAATCTTTCAATTATAAGATATTATTTTATTATTATTTTTATTATTAAAAGTTATAAAATGATCACTCGACTATTTATACGTTCTAAATTTTTTTCGTTAAAAAATTAATGGTAATCTAAATTAGACATTAACATATTAACTAGAATATAATAAAATATCATCGTAGAATCTTAAACGATTATTATATCTCAATCATTATGTTAACGTTAAACTCAAACAACCATATGTTTTGTAATAAAAAAACGAGTTGGGAACATATGAATAGCCAAGTGGTCATTTTATAAATTTTAATAGTCAATAGATTAAACAAAGCGATATCTTATAATCATTTTATAACTTTTAATAGTCAAAATAATCAATAAAACATCTTATAGTCGGAGACTATTTGTGTACTTTATCCTTTTTTTTAGTAGTATAAGACTATTATAAGATTTTTCTTAATTATTGATAAAATAAATGTAACTACTTGAACAAATAACTTCTAAAAAAAACTTTAAAGTATTGAGATCACTTAATCGGGTTAATTTTTTTTTCAAATTCTAAAACAAGGCCTCGTTCCCCATGAGTTGATAAAAAAAATTGAGGTAATACACGCGAATGATTTTTGGACTATTTTTATTGAGTCGTCAACTATGAATATAATACTTAAATATCTTTTTTTTTTATTCATTAGTCATCACGGTTAAAAAAATAAATAAATCAAAAACAGGGTTTTATTTGCAACACTGAATACATGCATAGCTTTTGAAGAAAGGAGCGTGATTCTCTCATCCAAGGCTGGTGTAAACTATCACGAGTTCTTTGTAATATCTTGCATCTCTGACCCTCGTTCTCCGTTTTGCTACTAAGATCAATTGGTGTTGGGTTTTGATTCTTTGTTATCTGTCTAAATTAGCTGCAAGAATCCCGATTTACAGAGCTGTGTAGCATGAAGAACATCTTGAGCTTAAATAGCAGCTTTCCAGGGCCTCGGATTCGGGTTCCACGATAAAGGGTGTTTGACAAACAACTTTTTGAAGATTTTTTTTTGATTATTTAAGTATGAATAACTGATTGGTAGTTAAACCCTTCAATTTTAGTGTTTGATAAACATCTTTTTGAAAGAACTTATTATGCAAAATGAAAATGAAAACACTGAAAAATCCAACAATTTATAAAAACTGATTGTAAAATAAGGTGTTAAATAACATATTTAACCTTATTTTTATAAAACCTAATATAATAAAATAGCCTTCATCCTAATATATTTAAGCTGAAATTTTATTTTATTATTCTATTTTTTAGTTATAGATTCTCAAATATATTTTAGTTAAGAAAATATAGTAAAATATGAAAGTTAAAAAAAGTAGTGTTGATATTTTATACAAATTTAATAGTCTGTATCAATCTCATAATATTAATATTTGTAAATATTAAATTTTAAAAACATATTCAAAATTTTAAAAATATTCACTAATTTTCTTAAGAAATTTTTATTTCACTGTCAAAAGTATTTTATTTGAATAATTTCACCCCAATAAAGATTAAAATATTATAAAATATATATGTACTTAACAACTAAATGTATCGTACATTTATTTGTCATTTTACTCATATCAACTATCAGCTAACAGTTAAATTTTACCAAACAATTCTATATAAACAGTTAATCAAATCAGTTTCTCAAATTAATTGGTCAAACCAACTACTGGATTAAACTATTAGCTATCAGTACAAAAACTAAGAGGTTTTTACTTTGCATAAATAGATACTAATTATATATATATATATAGTGTTAATTTAAAGGTGTTTGGTGTAGGATAAAATGTTTAGTAACTTTATTTAACTTAACTCATTAGGCACCTAAACCCTTGCATGATTAAGCAATATTATAACTTCAGTTCAATTTATTCAAACCTTTATTACAACTCAAACACGAAGAAATACGTGTAAAACTCGAACATTCCAAATGCCGATTTCTTTAAACTGCAGGCACTGGACTAACAGGGGAGCCAGTAAAAGTTGGTGCCGCAGCAGCAGTCGCAGGTCCAGGACCAGGAGATGCATCACAGTAGCCTCTGAGAATGTTGCTTTCCTCATATGTGAAACCAAGGGAAGTGAGTATGGTAGGCCAACAATTACGGGTGACAATCTCGATCGAACGACAACACTCGGAGTCGATATCAGTGTGACCATCAACCAAGAACAGAATAATCTCATCGGTGCACGATTTCAACTCATTTAGTGCGTTCCAGCACTCGGCAAAGCCTTGATTATCGTCGAGCCTTGGCGCTAGTATGTGGCCTGGTTTGCCGGGGATGGAGAGTTGCCTTGCGAATGCTACGCTAGCCAAAAGGCAGGAAACAAGGACCAAGGGATGAAACAAATCTCTGAATGCCATTATATGTCTTTTTTCAAGTAAATAGTTGAATTACAAAACGTTGAGTGAATGAAGAAAGTGAGGCTGTGGGAGGTTATTTATAGGAGAAATCAAGTGAGACGAGGGGACGAAAACTAAATATGCGATTATTGTCTTAATCAGATGATTAATTAAGGGAAAGATGATGGGTTTCTTTATAAATGAGTAACTGCAAAGCAGAAGCACATAAGCCAGGTGAGTGAATTTGATAGGACATAAAAATTGAATCCTTCACAGTCACTGATTAATTTTGTTTAACCAGTATAAATGTGGTACTTGTGTTTTTTTAATCAATTTGGTACCTATACTTGTGAAACATTACACATTTGGTACTTAATTTTTCACTTTTACAGATATCGTATCTGTATTTTCTTTTTAACCAAATTGTTATATATTTTTGTCAAACATTACATATTTGATACCTATATTTATTAAATCGATGTCAAATGTCTAAAAATATTATGTGGATTCAATATTACAATTTTTTATAATTTTAAATAAATTAAATAATTTAGTTGAAAATTAATTTGTTTATTATTTTTAAGTCATTTAATATGGATCGTTTTGTAAAAAATGATAAATTCAAGTGTCAAATGATAGAATTAACTCTATTTATCATCCACTTATTGGTTGCTAAGTAAACAAATGGTCTAATTCATCCCGTACCCTTAACGTGAACCCGACCAGAGGTGTGGGTTTTTTTTTTTTAATTTGAGATTTGGGGCGGAGCGGGACAAGTTACATAATAAGTAGGTTCGGGGCGGGGTGGAACCGTGTTTAAAGTGAAAAGTTACTGATACGACTCTGTTATATATATATATAATTTTTAATATTTTTATTTTTATAATATTAAAATATATTATTTAATTATTAAAATTATTATAAAATACATTATTTTAATTATTTTAAAATATTGATATATTTGGGTCGGATCGGGACTTTAATCTAAAAATCATGGCGGGAGAAAAGCTAAAATTTACTGAGGGGGTAGGGGCCGGGTATAAATAATGTATTTTCGAGTCGGAATCGGGGCAACCAAAAAACTGGCCCACCCCGCCCTATGCCCATCCCTATATACATTATAATATTTGATTTTATATCAAAATAAACTTTAAGTCAAATGCATCTATTTATTAATAATTAAATATTCAAAAAAAATCATAATTTATTATTTAATATTTATTTAACATTGAAATTATTTTTATTCTTATTATTTTTTTGATCGAAAGTAAATGCTAAACGAAGTGAAAAAGAGTTGCTTAGGGCTTAAGTGAGGCAAAAAGGTTAATGCAACTTACTTATTTTATGCGATTGGAAGGCAACTTGTGATAAGCCAACCTCGAATGTTTTTGAATAAATGATTTGTATTATGTTATAAAATATATTTTTAACTTGAATAAAATGATTTTTATTATGTTATAATTTTTGGGTATGAATTACCCAAACTATTTGTATATGATAATTTGAATAATTCTATATGAAATACTATAAGTATATGACCTATTTGTATATGTTTTATATGAATAAATGATAATTTGAATAGTGCTATGGTAAATGCTATGAGTAAATGTTTTATGTGAGATGTTCTATGTGAATATGTGCTAAGAGATCTTAGTTTATGTGGAATTATTATACTCGAAATATGATCTATGAGAATAAAAGACCTCTTGAATAATAAATGCGATTTAATTATATGGAATAAGCAAAAAGTATATTTTATGAGAATTAGGGGTATAGTTGGCATGCCAAGAGTTAAGGGTTCTATGTGTTTCTTCGGGACAAATCTATGTGGTCATTCGGGACAAATATGTGGCACTTCAGTGCAAATTATGTGAGCAGTTGTGACTGCATTAGTGCACAACCTCAATGTACTCACATACCTTAAGTTCTCAGCAATATACGTTGGGCAAATAAAACAAACTTGATATATTTTGAAAAATAAGTAACAATATTATAATGTTAATGGAGTATTTATTGATTTTATATGAATTTTTTTTAAGGAAATGTAAAAAAATCAAGTGTCAAATAGATATAAAGTAATCAATGTTTAATAATATATGTTATAAAATGTGAATAGTATAGTGTTTTTCGTACTTAATGTTATTTTGAAATTAACATAAATGTTATTGTTTTAATATACTCATTATGCCTCACTAAGTCATAGACTTAGCGTGTGATTGTTTCACACGTAGGTGCAAAAAGCTTTAAGGAGTAAGTCGAATAAGTAAGGGAAGGACATCATACCTGTGAAGACTATCAGATCAGAAAAATGTGAATTGTATATGCTTTTGTTCTTTAAGATGTTGTTGGCATGTACTTAAAATGTTTTAAATTATAGATGCTCTGATATGTTTTGTAAAAAAATGTTTTTAATTGTTTAATAAAAGACAAATTTTAGTCAAATTTTTAGAGAGTCAAATAGTTAGAAGTTAATGTGACACCTCAGAGTCGTATCAGGGTCGGGTACGGGTCAGGGGTGTTACACTCTCAGCTACCAATGTCGACACAACATTCGTCAGGAATCCACGACGTTCCCCGATCATCACAATCTTTCGGTTATCCGGAGTCTTCAAAACCACTCTCTTGGTCTCACAATTGAGATTAACTCGATGCTTGTTCAACCAATCCATGCCAAGAATTAACTCAAACTCTTCCAAAGGTAACTCCATCAGGTCGGCCAGAAAGATCTCCCCATGGATCTCTATAAGATACCCTCTAAAAACACGATCTAACTCTATGGACTGATCTACAGGACTTTGAACTGTCACCGAATTCTCAGTATTCTCAACAAAGATATTAAGACCCTCATAAATGGAATACGACACATAGGAATGGGTAGAACCATTATCAAACAATGCAAAGTAAGGAATTGGATGAATAGTAACAGTACCTACAATCACATCAGGCTCATCGTGGTCTTGTCGATGTCTAGCAGCGTAAACCAACCCAGGCTGTCTGTCCTCAAATCTGGCTGGACCCCTACTCTAAGAAGCTCAGTCTATACTACCCAATCCCGATGCTCTCTCCTGACTATGACCCCCTGTTGGAGTCTGAACTGTACTCTGAGTACGAGCGGGAGTACGAGCTGGTGTCTAAATTATAGGAGATGACTCTGGACAATCCCACAAAAGATGATCACCAGAACTACATCTAAAATAGATACCCAATTTCCTCATGCATTCACCAAAATGACGTTTCCCATAATACTTACATGACGACTAAGGTTGCGACCCAGAAGAACCACTATGTCTAGAAGGCAAAACAGCTGAAGAACCTTGTTGAAAACATTTTGATGTTTCGATATAACAAATTAAGTTAAATGAATTTTAAGCTTTTACAAAAGATTTTCTAAGTATATTCAATGTAATTATTTGAATATCAAAATATTACTCCAAGTGTTTCAAAGTTCATTTTAATCCTTACTAAAGTGTAAAATTATGTTTTATACTTAAACTGTTTTTAAAACAATTTTACAAAGTATTTCGAACCGTGTCAAAGCCAAGAAAAATCAGATTGTCCAGGGGGTACAGATTCTCCCCAGGGGGTACAGATTCCCCTGCAGGTTTTTGGCTCCAAGAAAATAGAATGTCCAGGGGGTACAGATTCCCCCCAGGGGGTACCGATTCCCCCCAGGGGGAACAGATTCCCCCCCAGGGGGTATCGATTCCCCCTGTCTAACGGTCAAAAACATATTGCACTTAGGGAACCGATTCCCTATGAGGGGGTACCGATTCCCCCCACGCTCCAAGCTATTTTATTAATTGTTTCTCATCCCCAAACTGCTCCAAAACATCCCCAACGACTATATACGACTTCAAACACATTCCAAGCTATAAATACAAACTAATGACACTTGAAGAAGTAAGAGAACAACTATCCAAGCAATCAAACACAAGAGAATAGTTTTTCAATCTTATTTCATCTTTCTCTTATAAATATTTTGTTCTTGTGAGCTCAATCTTGTAAACACCTACCTTAGAGAGGTTTTCTTGTTTACATCTTTTATCCTTTTGTAAAGGGGAAAGGTTCTAGCTTAGCCCGTGTAAAAGCTAGGGAAAGGTTCTAGTTTAGCCCGAAAAAATTAGGGAGTTTGTAAGGTTACTCTTTATCCTCAAAAGAAAGAACAAATTAGTGAATTTGTTGGAAAATCCTTGGTGAGAAGCTAAGGTAGTGGACATAGACTTTGATTGAGAAAGTTGAACCATTATAAATCGTTGTGCAATTCTCTATCTTTCAATCTCCTTACTCCCTAAACACAAAACCGTTCTGACCCCTCTTTACAAACCGTTCCAGTTATCGATTCGAGCTTCCGAAAATCCCAACAATTGGCATCAGAGTCTAACTCGTTAAGAAGGTTTAACCATCTTAAGACGATCCTAGAAGAAGCTCTACCAATTCCCGACACAACCGAGAAGATAGCTTCCACCTCCAGCTCGTTCCACATGAAAAAATCCCTACCAACGGACAAGCCTCCATACTTCAATGGAGACAACTATCGTCATTGGAAGAAATTAATGAAGGTATTCATCCAATCCAATGATCTTGATGCATGGGAGATAATCGAGAACGACTACTCTTCTCTAAAGAAGAAGGAGAAGAAGCGGAGTGACAAAGAACGGAAGAAAGCTCAACTTAATGCTAAGGCCATGCACATGATGTTGTGTGCATTTGGTCCTGAAATCTATGAAGGAGTTTCTTCATGTTCAAGCACCAAGGAGCTTTGGAATAAGCTCGATGAAATCCATGGAAACAAGAAAGAAGAACCAACAAAGGTGGTGTCTCTAATGGCTCTTGAAGAACCCGAGGTATCTTCTAACTCAAATGAATTTAATTCATTTACTTTTGATGAGTTACAAGATGCTTGTAATAGGTTGTATTTGGGATTTGAGACCATGAATTCCAAATATACAAAATTAATTTAAAAACTCAAAATTGAAAATAAATCGATTTTGAAAGCTAGAGTTGATTTTGAAAAATGATTT